TAGCCTGTTATGCAGAGAGCGAGTGTCAAGCCTGGTACCAAGCCAATGAGCAGATTATATCGCCAACCCAAGGAAACATGGATGTTGAAAGCCAAGCCATAAGTCTGGGAAATATTTGTATGGTGGATGGCTCTTGGACCTCTACAGCTTAGTTCAGTAGATGTGGTTGTGTATGGAATGACAGTATGGAAAATAATCAGCTATTGGGTATGCGCAATTTTACTAGAAGGGAGTCTATTTTGCACTCTGAGCTGGAAGCACTACGGTGGCAATGGAGAATATGCTTCAACATTCGCCATGTCAGAGCTTTGGGACTGAATGCAAGAAGATGATAGCGATGCTTAGGAATCCTTAGACACCAGCCAAGCTTCTCAAAGGAATTGGAAAAGCTCACGACGTTACGGATTTGCTTTCTAGACTTTAAGATTTTCTATGTTCCTATGACACATAACGGGTTTTCTGATTCCTTAGTTAAGACTGTTCGATCCTTCTATTGAGAATTTTTGTATGTTGGTTGTTTTATTTCGGTCTAACTACTCAAACCACCTTAAACTTAAGTAATAGATCAATTTTTTGATGCCAACAAAAAAAAAACATAATAACACCGTAAATTAGCTTTTTTAATTAAAAAAATAACCTGGGCGATCTAGTGTTTATAAAAGTTGCGCAAACCTTGCCTACACAGATCCACCGACCGATCTTCATCATTTTCTCAATAGTTAATTGTTTCTGTCACGTTTAATATATTGTATACATACAATATTAATCTCCTTTTGAAAGAGTGCGCGTTTATTTAAATAATACTACTAGTATTATTTAAATCTAATATATAGCTATAGTTGACCCAGCAGGAACCTTCAATTTCTGTAAAAAACTTTCAATTTCTAGCCTGACAAGGTACGATTTATATTATAAAAAAGTTTTAGCTGTTTGTTTTTATTGGATCGAAAATGTGTTTGTTTTCATTTTAGTTATTGTTTTAATTTTGTACACACATATTAAAAACACATTTAATTTATATATTTTTGAAATAAACATATTATTAGTTATATAAATAATCATATTTAATCATTAAAATAATATAATATATAAAGTAAAAAAATTTACATTAAAATTATAAAATAATATTTATTTTAAAACGAAATTTTTTTTCTACAAATGTAACTAAGGGTGTGAATGGTGACCAAGAGAATGAAGAGGAACACTATATTACTTAACATTCCTTAAAAAATTCACCATTCATGAGGAATATATTGTTTTCTCCATTCCTCCTCATTCCTTTGGTTGTAGAGATTATAGAACAACTTCATTCCTTATTGATTTTGATAAGGAATTATTATTCCTCTTCCTTCCTAAAATTTTATTCCTACTCATTCATTTTCTGTCCATTCCTGATGTTTCTATTATGGTTACCAGTCACACCCTAAATTGTAACGGAGGTATGAGGTATCACATATGTAATTTTTAAGGGTTTTTTGCAGAACTGACCTGAAACTTAAAGTCAACCACAAAACTAACCTCTTTTTTTTGGAACTTTATTTTGCCCAATTCACCCCACAAGTTCATATAATTCACGAAAATGTCATCAATTTGTTTTTTTTCGAAAATGACATATTTACTCTCTCACCCTCATCATCTTCAAGTAATTACAAGATTGCCATTGTCATCAATACTCCAACAACCATGAACAACCAATTTTGAAGCTCTTAATGCCTCCAAATTCCATTTACCCTTCTTCTTTCTCTATTCTCATGAACTAAACAACACATTACAACACATATCTCTCACTTTCTCTCCACAATAAGCTAAAAAAACCCAAGATTTTGATTCTACATTTTTTAGGGTTCATATAGTCAAAGAAATTAAAGATTCAGGGTGGATTACCTTTGTTTGAGATCCTGAGTGCTTGATTCTACATTTTCTAGGGTTCATATAGTCAAAGAAAGTGCTCTCACCAATTGAAGGTATGAAATCGAGTTTTTTTTTGCGATCAGTTCGTCCAGATAACTGAAATTTCAGTCGTCTGCTTTCGTCCAGTCAACGCAGAAGTTATTTTTGCAATTGACTTTGCAATTTGTTTCCAGAGACGACTGAAATTTCAGTCGTCTACTTTATTTTGGCTACAAAAAAATATCTTAAGAATCTAGACGACTGATATTTCAGTCGTCGTAGGTTAGTTTTGCATTTGACTAGAAAATTTCAGAATTTTGACTTTCTAGGACGACTGAAATTTCAGTCGTCTACTTTATTTTGGCTACAAAAAAATATCTTAAGAATCTAGACGACTGATATTTCAGTCGTCGTAGGTTAGTTTTGCATTTGACTAGAAAATTTCAGAATTTTGACTTTCTAGGACGACTGAAATTTCAGTCGTCTGCGAAAAAACTGAAATATCAATATTTTATTGGAACGCACGACATACAATAGGTTAGTTTTGCAATTGCGAAAAAAAATTTAACTTTCAAGACGACTTACAATTCAGTCGTCCGCCAGACGACTTACAATTCAGTCCTCCAGGATTTTATTCCGAGATTCTGGTCAAACCTCGTAAATCCTAGACGACTGAATTGTAAGTCGTCCCAGGGACGACTGAAATTTCAGTCGTCTAGATTTTTTTAAATATTGAAGTTTGTTTTCGCAATTGCAAAACTAACCTACGACGACTGAAATGTAAGTCGTCCAATTTCAATAAAATATTGATATTTCATTTTTTCGCAGACGACTGAAATGTAAGTCGTCCTAAAAAGTCAAAATTCTGAAATATTCTAGTCAAATGCAAAACTAACCTTCGACGACTGAAATTTCCGTCGTCTGGATTTTTTTTATCAAACATACCCAGACGACTGATATTTCAGTCGTCCCAACTAACTGATTTCAAAGTCAATTGCAAAAATAACATCTGCGTTGACCAGACGACTGAATGTTTAGTCGTCTGGACGACTTACATTTCAGTCGTCTGCTTCGACTCTCTAATAAACTTTCGTTTTCTTTCTTCTATGTTTGCTAATGTGTTTTATTTTTACTATCTCAGATGATGCATCAGTTACGTGCAGTGTATGGAGAATGGTTGTTGGAAGATGGTTGTTGGAATTTTGTGGTTGATCGTTTCAAAGGAGCAAGATTGTTTTTATTGAATGAAGATTCAAGACATGCTGAACTTGTGGCAATGGCTCAAGAAGATTATAACCTGGACATGAGCAGAGTCACTGTGGAGATTAGCTACTCATTACCAGCTCCAAACCTTCCTCCTATTCATGTTACAAGTGATAGACAAGTTCGAAACTTGCTCGAGATAACCAAAACGCAAGAAGTACGTCTTTGTGTATCAAGCTTTTGCAAGATGAGAACGGTTTCAGAGGAAAGGGATGAAGCTGAGGATGCAGCTGATGAAGCTGATGTGGGGGATGAAGATCAGGAGGGGGATGTAGCTGAGGATCATGATAGGGAGGAGGATGCTGACATCCCTGTTGTCGCTGACTTACATGTAAGTCGTCCAGAGAGTAAGACTCTGTAGAAGACTTCCAGGAAGTGAGAAGACTACTATGACGACTTACAGTCGGAGAAGATTTAGTCGGAGAAGATGTGGTCCCTAGCGGTTACAGATCTGCATATCGAAGGGAAAAGAAGAGTCAAGACTACAATTTTTAGGGTTTTCCGGCGGCTAAACGCCTTAAAACATAAGATATAACATACCGGCGGCGGAGGAAAGGGCTACGANCTACTATGACGACTTACAGTCGGAGAAGATTTAGTCGGAGAAGATGTGGTCCCTAGCGGTTACAGATCTGCATATCGAAGGGAAAAGAAGAGTCAAGACTACAATTTTTAGGGTTTTCCGGCGGCTAAACGCCTTAAAACATAAGATATAACATACCGGCGGCGGAGGAAAGGGCTACGAGATTTCAGATCTGAAAAAAGGAAGCGGATGGTCAGTTTAAACTACGAAAATACTATAAGGCATGAAAGAAAAACGAGATTCGTCGAAATCGGAGAGATTATCAGCGAAAACGGAGAGATTCGTCGAAATCAGAGAGATTCATCGAAATCGCCTTTACAATCGTCCTTGGAGAGAAACGGCGCTAGGGTTACGGAAAATTGTGAAAAAATGAAAAAAATAACTTTTATATGTCCGGTAAAAATCCGGTTAGGTTAAAACATAAAATGTTAAAATTAACGCTTCGGTACAATTAGACGACTGAATTTCAGTCGTCTGGGAAATAATTTAAAGCAGACGACTGAAATTTCAGTCGTGTGGGAAATAATTTAAAGCAGACGACTGAAATTTCAGTCGTCTGGGAAATAATTTAAAGCAGACGACTGAAATTTTAGTCGTCTGGGAAATAATTTAAAGCAGACGACTGAAATTTCAGTCGTCTAATCCCTAAACATAACCCCTAAACTTTATTCTCTAATTAAACACTTCGAAACATCAAATTAAACTTGAAAAATGTTTACTATACACAGAAATAAATACATAGAGGTCAAATTAATTTTTTCAAAAAAACATTTCAGCTTTTCAAAATCTAACCCTAAGATTACATACAATACTACAACATATGTTTGCCAAACCCTTAAACCAAAGAATATCATGATTCACTACTTCCACTCATCTATGCTGAAAATAAATCAACTTTATCATTTCTTAATTTATATCACTTATAAATGTTTATAATTACATGTTTTTAATTTTTCACTCATCAAAATATTTTTTACAGAATTTATAAAAGTAACTCAGCCCGACCCAGATAACTTACTGGGGTTATATTCGTAAAAATGTCTTCTGTTTTTTTGTTTGGTCACAGAGCACTATACTGTAATTGCATAGCTCTTTTAGGTTAGATTTGCATTTGATTCAAGTTAGGGTCTAATATTGGGGTTAAAACCAAGTTGTGGGTTAGTTTTGGCAAAAAACTCAATTTTTAAACTGTTTTTCATTTAGCTTACCCTTCTCTATAAATACCAAACAGCTAGTCTATTTTTTCATCACAATCAAACAATCATTTTTATTTCACTTACTACAAAAAAAAAATATGGGTGGCTATACGCGACTCCTCGTCGTCCTCTCCATGCTCGCCGCCGTAGCTCTGACATCAAAAGCACAATACGTTATATCCATCAACAAAGACGAAGCCACCAAACAGTTCTACACCAGTTTCTACATCGGAGACGACGGCATGGAAACTCGTGTAAACCTCCTTCTTGATCTCGGAACCAACCTCACGTGGGCCAACTGCCGCAGACTCGAATCTTTATCATCTCTCCACCTCGTCAGATGCCAGAGCCCAACATGCAAAGCCATCCCTGGAAACGGCTGCGATAGCCGTAATATCTGTCTTTATCAGCAACCAAACCCTCTCGGCAAAAACTCCTCCGTAACCGGCCGTGTCGTCCAAGACACAGCCAGTTTCACGGCTTCCAGCTTCCGCCCCTTCACATTCTCCTGCGCCGCCGTGAAAACACCCCAAGGCCTTCCTCCTCCGGTCGCCGGCATTCTTGGTCTTTCTACAGGAGAATATTCGTTTTGGAGACAGGTAACGAAGAAGTTTAACATCATCCCGCAATTCACTCTTTGCTTGCCTTCTTCCGGCACCACCGGTAACTTCTACATCGGCGGCATTTCTTACAGCGTCCCAAGGACTCCAACGTCAATGAGAGTTAGCTCAGGAGAGTATTTTTTCGTGGTTAATTCCATCTACGTTGACGGGACTCCTTTATCTTTGAACCCTGGTTTGCTAAACGGCGGAGCCAAGCTAAGTACGGTGGTTCCGTACACCGTTCTCCACACTGATATCTACAATGCTCTTGCTCAGTCTTTTACACTCAAGGCTAAGGTAAACCAAATAAAAATTATGTATTCTTTTGAAGTTTTAGACAGTCAAACTATACTATTTAAAAAAAAAAAACTATACTATTTTATCTGGAATATAGTAAATGATGAAATCATATATAAATTATCTTATTCACGTGAAGTGCGAAAACTGTAGATGATAAGTTTATTTTATTTATGATTTTGAAAGAAACATTTTAAAATTTATTTTAAAATAATAAATGATGAAATCATATATATAAATTATCTTACTTCTTCTTTTTATCAACAATTATTTTACTTCTTAAAGAAATATTTATAAATTTTTAAAGATTATTTTATTTTTGATTTTTTGCTTTTTGTCACCATATCACTTAAATTTTGAAAGTGAGACACATTTTAAACTAATCATTTCTATATTTTATTATGGGTTGAATTACTACACAGGCAATGGGAATATCTCAAGTCCGATCGGTGGCGCCCTTCAAAAACTGTTTCGATGCACGTGCCGCCGCAGGAAATAATATTCCGGTGATAGAGATTGGGGTGCCGGGGAAAATAAGGGAGGAGAGGTGGACATTCCACGGGACTAATACGGTTGTGAATATCAACAAGAAGGTGATATGTTTGGCGTTCATCGACGCCGGAAAGAAACCGAAGGAGAATATTGTGGTTGGGACATATCAGCTACAAAATTATATTGTCACGTTCGATATGAGCAGGACGGAACTTACGTTTAGTGACTCGCTCTTGCTCCACAACACTAGCTGCTCCTCTTAATGACGTTTCTTATAAAATGGAGAGATAATCAAAAGGAGCACAAGTGCACAACATTATTAATTACTAGAATCAACCTTTATCTTTCTCAAGTTTCTTCCTTATTACGTGTTTTCTATTTTCTTGGTAAGTACTACATGCCATTTTAATTGGAACTTTTAATGAGATTTTGGTGAATATCTCCAGATTGACAGAGTATCTTTTTCGTTATTTCTATAGTTTCGTCTCTTTTGTTGCCGACAAATGACCACTTTTTTATTGTTTTGCTTATATGGTTAGAATTCCGAAATGATTATTTAAAACTAGTAATGGTTAGTATCTTTTTCGGGCATATATTTGCTCACTAAACCAAATTTCAACTTATCTAACTAAAATTACATCAATTTATAAAATCATGATTAAGCCCGGAGTTTTTAGGGTGAGATTTTTAGCGGAAATTAAAAGATTTTTTATTAACTTTTAACTAAAAAACTAAGAACTGGTTCTTAAAGTTCTTATTTAAAACCGATTCTTAGCTTTTTTAGTTAAAAGTTAAGAAACAGTTTTTTAACTTCCACTAAGAACTTTACCCTAAGAATCCTGGATTAATCATGCTCTAACATTTTATAAGAAGATGAGTATACATAAACAAAGACCATTTACACACTCATCTGTTAACCATGTCTGATGGTAAGCATAAAAAGAGTGTGTATTGCGTGCTCATCCTTTTAATTATGTTTATCATGATCATACATAATCGCCAGCGTATGTTTACTGAAGCAAGAAGATCAATGGGTATTACTGAGAAGAAACACTTGGAGAATGATTATTCGTTTAATACATGTAGTAATTAGTCTCTAATAGTATCAGCTCAGTAATACTCATTGATATTATTGATATATTTTAGAAATACATGTTTGGAAGCAATTTTATAGAAATAAGAACTAAATACCAACACATAAAATATAGTTAATATAATTTATATGATCCATTTAGTTTTATTTATATTTTTTTTTGTAAATAAGTTTCTTTACCATATAAATCTATTTTTGGTAGACAAATACTAAAATTGAAACTCAATTAAATTGAAAAACATTAAACTATTATCGTAAGTATTTATTCAAAAGTTTCGAAATCTACTCTCCAATTAAAAATAAAGAAACATATTTTGGGATTTGTTTGGAACTTGCGTTTTCGTATTCTTTTCCTTTTCCTTGCAGTCATCACTAACCTTAAATTCAACGATACAAAAAATATATAATTAGTTCATTTGTATATAATAGACTTATAAATGGATTTGTATGAATATGTTATACTATAGAAAAAACATATTTGTAAAACTATCAAACCATAACAAACGTTATTCAGTTTTCATATAGAAAATTCAGATATACTTAGTGTTACCAAATTGCTGACAAAACTCTGAGTTTTTTTTTCTACAGCAGAAGTATACTTAACCATCTTCAACATGAATCATGCAAATATAACAAGAATAATTAGAGAATATTGGTCTGAGAAGGAATGAAAATAATATGAATAAAGGCTAAAACATAAACTTGTATGGATTTTCTAGTTACACTCCAAACACACAAATTTTTTTTACCCTAAAATTGTATAGGGACATTTGCTAAAAGTAATCTAAAATTTCAAATCAAATGTAAAAGTATACCCCAATTTCAATGAAATGCAAAACCAACCTAAAGGTGTAGGAAATGTCTATTTACTCTTTATGACTAAACAAAAAATCAGAATGCTATTTTACAATTTTATCCTTATGAAATCTACATTTAATAGAGAGAAGTATACAAGGTGTAGACTTATCATGAAGTCAATATTATAGACTTATTACGAAGTCTACATTCTAAGTTAATCTTATAATTTTATTTTTAAAATATATAAAAATAAATTGTGTGAAATTTCTTTTAGCTGATTAATATAAGAATCAATATGAGGTATATAAATTAAAATTTCATATAATTAAAATTTTTAATGAATATATATTGATTCGGTAACAATAATGAAATAGTCATAGTAGATTTCAAAAAAAGTCTACTAAGTACTACAAAATTTGAATTATAGTAGACTTCAAAAGAAGTCTATACTATCGAAATTTTTAACCTAGTTACACTTTTTGTCTACCTATATAAATGAAATTTAGACTATCACTCTCTCAAATGGCTGCACAAGTTTTTTGAAAAAACTCTCACCTCTCTAAAACTCTGTCATTGCTCAATTCTTTGAAGGTGAAGATGAATTATTGTTTAGTTTGTTAATTTTTCTATCATGTTTTTTTCACAATCTTATCTTGTGTTTGTAGGTTAATTCATGGTTATCACCTTCCACTCTAAAAATGTAAGTCTTAGATCTATAGATTTTAAATGTGTACTTTTATGTTTATATTCAAATAAAGTTACAAATACAAACTGTTTGCAGTTACTTTGCTAATATTTTATCTTATAAATTCTATTTTTAAAGTTTTGTTTTCAGATTTAAAACTATATTTCACATTTTCACATGTACATAGTTTCCAGATCTGAAAATCATCCGATATAGTAGACTTATAATGAAGTCTAGAAAACTAGAAGTGACTTTTTTTATGTATAATGTTTGTTCTCATAATTTTATCTTTATTTTCTTAATATTTTCTTTCATGGTTTTTATCTAGTTTTCCCAAAAATGAAAGATTCAGATTTTCAAATTTATTAAATTTTCAGATCTGAAAATTATCTAATATATAATAAACTTCTAATGAAGTCTACTAGGTTATGACTTTAATTGTTTATCATATGTTTTTCATAGTTTCATCTTTATTTTGCATGTATTTTCTTCCATGGTTTTTTTCTCTTCCACAAAAAAATGGTAAGATTTACATCTATAATGTGTGTTTTTCTTTTTGTATTTAAATAAAGTTACATATTCAAACTCTATGTCTATAATTTACTACTAAATTATTTTACAAATTCTATTTTCTAAACTTTTTAGATTTAAAATTATTTTCATGTTTGTAATGTATATATTTTTCATATCTAAAATTTTTCGGATTGAGTAGACTACAAATGAAGTTTACTAACTTTAACTTTTAAATAGACTTCATTATAAGTCTACTCAAATATGATTTTAATTTTTCTGTCTTATATTTTTTTCATAATTATATTTTATTTTGCAGGTATTCTCTTCCAAAGTTTTCAAATCACATTCTAAAAAATGTAAGATTTACATATATTCATTTAAAATTTTATTTTTTTTGTTTATATAAAGCTAAATTTATAGATAAAAGCTCTATGCTTTTTCTTTGCTAATTTGAGGTTAAACACTATTTTGAATGATTTTGTAGAAAATACTATTTTCTAATTTTGTAATTCTAAATTTTTAAATTTGAAATTGTTTTTGGCATGAAGTTTATTTTAAAATTAAGGCTAGTAGACTTTAAAGAAAGTCTATTGAACCCATCATCTGTGAGTAGACTTTTATGAAGTCTCCTAAAAATAATTTGAATATGTTTACCTTATGTTTACTCATAATTTTGTCTTATTTTGCAGGTACTCTTTTTCAAGATTTCATTTGAGATATCAAAATTATGAACAATCAAACACTCTAGAGTTTTAAAAGAAATTGCTTTGTAATAATTTATCTTTACAAAATATTCATTTGTAAATAAATATTCTGATACATAATCAATAAACATTGTATTAAATTTTTAACTGTGTTGCATTTGTATGATATTATTAATTTTTCTTAGCAGTCAGTTTTTCAGAAAATACTCTAGTCAGCCAAACAGTTAAAAACCACCATAAGCTAAAACAACAACTAACACACAATAATGAATGTGTTAAAATTATGTAATCTGAAGACTTGTTTTATAGCAATTTTAGAGATTTTGAACACAAAATAGACTAATAATACAAATTAATACAACTCCAATAGCAATAAAAGAGAGTAGAATTTAGTGTTTGTCTACTTTCCTACCTGTAGACTAATAAAGAAGTCTGCTTTTGTTATACACATTTAAAAAAGTCTACATTACGGAAATCATGCTTGTTTAACACTTCATAACAATACCAAAGAAACCTACAAATAAAACATAAGTTCATACACAACAACAGATAACTGAGCCATTTCTTGTGGAAAAAAATAAAAATTTACATAGTTATCGATCATGTTTTAAAAAACTATAAAGTAGACTTACCAATACGTCTACGATTATTAGCTAACTATCTGATCAAATAAAGAGTATCATAATTTCATAAATATAACATATTTTCTTTTAAAAATCACTCACACATATTAGGATTAACTAACACACACTGTCAAACAAAAAAATCTTGAAAAAACTTAATGAATAATACAAAAATTCACTTTTAATGTATTTTCAAACGTAGACTCCATAAGCAATCTGCGTAAATGTAGACTTTTGTTACAGTTTACACATGTAGACTCCATATGCAGTCTTCTAATTAGGTTAGTTTTTGCAATTGAAAATTTTATGGGTTACTTTCTATATTTGAAAAAAAAAATGTGATTTTATACATGTAGACTTCCATTCAGTCTACATATCAGAAAGGTTAGTTTTTTCAATTGACCAAAAATCACCCAAGATTTGACTTACTAAAGTAGACTTTAGAAGTAGTTTACATGTTTGAATTTTTTTGAGAGAGGTTAGTTTTGCAATTGACCAAGTCTGACTTTTTATTAGTAAACGGAAACAAATGTCTACATAGATTTTGACTTCATACGAAGTCTACCCTCAAGTACGGGAGGTTAGTTTTGCATTTGACCAAAATAAAATAGTAGACTTCATGTGATGTCTATCGTTTTTTTTTTTAAATTAGTGTATTGTAATTAAAGTGTACACTTTTTTTTTCTTTTTGGTCAACTTTTTATCATTTTAGTCAAATACAAAACTAACCTATTCAACGGAGTTAAATTTGGGTCAAATACAAAACAAACTTTTTTGTAAACTTCTTTGGAAGTCTACAATCTGTAGATTGCCGACAAAGTCTACATTGAAAAGTCAAAAGTTTGGTCAAATGCAAAACTAACCTCTTTTACGTAGACTTCTTTGTAAGTCTACCTCATTTTTTGTTTTTGTTATCAAAGGTAATGACGTAGACTTCCAGGGAAGTCTAATTTGCATAATCAATTATTCTGGTCAATTGCAAAACTAACTTGTGCGTTGTTAAGTAGACTACATCGTAAGCCTACATGTAAGCGTAGACATACGATACAGTCTTCTATCGCGACACAGATCTGAAAAATGACGAAAACCATGTAAATAGGTACCTTTTTCCGGTGTAAAACTCGTTTCCACCCTTTTCCACC